TTAAATGGGGGGTAAAACTCAATGATGAAAAAAATCTCACACAAACCTTTCACAACCAACTGCACCAAATCCGTACTTTCCGTAGGTTGTGAGCAACACTTTTTTCTCTTCAACTTGAACACCCGATTGCTCTTGGGTGCTTGCTTGCTTCCATGCAACTTTACCAGGGAATGACCGCGATCATCAAGCAAGGATATAACCCCATCTTGCTTGGCTTGAAACCGTTCTCATCGGTGCACCTTCTTCACTTATTTCTGGTAGCAATTTCCAAGTACCTTCTTCTTTACCGTTTGACATCTCCTTATTCAAGATCGATTCATGCATGCATGCAAATCCTTAATATATAAAATATCTTTCATCATGGGTTTCCAACTTTGATAATTGGAGGAAGTCAATTTAAGCATTCCCCCAAAACAGCTTTATCCTCTATTTTAACAACACAAGAAAATCACCCAAAAATATCAACCCAAGCTCTGATACCAATTGTTGAGAAAATCACCTCAATTTTCTAGCGAAAGCAATTAATAATTTTCCCGTCTTTGTGTTGTCAAAATGAGCAAAATCATATGACCAATCAAGAATAGCAAACACAACAACAAGCAATCAATCAAACGATAAACGAACACCAAGATTTAACGTGGAAACCCCAAATCATGGAGAACTTGGAACACCAAACAACGATAATCTTCACTAAAAAGTGAGAAATTCCGATCCCAATAAAAACGTAGCAGCAAACAGAGGTAGTTTTACCGACATCGAGAAGTCAAAACAACAATCTCTGATACAGAAGATGAATTATATTATTTAATTAGTTATTTATTAATTAGTAGAATTATATAGGTACTCATGATTAGGTTTTAGTATGGGGCCCACTCCCATTAGGTTAATTAGGATTTCTCGTATCTCTATATATTGTACTCTCGTATTATTATTATTCAATCAATAAAGAAATATCAAAATTCTAATCTCCTTCTCTATTCACTTGGAGCTCGGAAATGCTCGAAGTTTTCCTTCTCTCTTTGCCTCCCCTTTCTCGGAGCTTGAAGAACGCTCGAA